CTCGGCAGTCTTGAAGGTTCAGACCTGTCCATCCTTTGGCTACGCATCACGCTGAAATCGCGGTTACATTCTGCAGACTGCCACCGTGTTTGGCGCTATAGATCAGCCGATCGGGATAGGATGCGGTCTTTCTTTGCATCCTATCCTTGGAGGTGGGTTTGCTTCTCACCGGATGATCCCAACGTTGTTGCTGACTCTATTGCTGATATGGTACTTCAGGGTATGGAACTTTTTACTTCTTCCTCTTTGGTGCCCATCGGAGGCAGATCTCAGCCATGGTTTAGTCGCTCCTGTAAAATAGCATCATGCTTTAAGCAGGAGTGGTACCAAGCCTGGGCTGACGCATTAACGAGATGTAAACACCAGCGCCAGAATTATAATTCCACCTCCAGGTCCTTCAAAAGAGTCATTGCCAAGGCAAAGTCAGAGCATATAGGCAGAATTGGCGAGAAACTAGTTCGCCTTCCTTTCGGAACCCGTGTATTATGGTCTCTCGCCAAGGCTGTCCAGGGTTTGTCTCAGCCATCTCTTCCATCTCTGCACAGGGAGGACGACTGACTGACCAATGCCTCAAAGGACAACGCCGATTTGCTAGGCTCTTTCTTTGCATCCAACTCGACTCTCGAAGACGGGGGGAGCACACTGCGGATCATCCAGCGGTATGAGTGCTCCATGTCGAATGTGCGGTTCACACAGAGCTCAGTTCGTAAAGCACTCCTCTCCCTGGACATCCACAAGTCGAGTGGGCCTGACAAAAACCCCCCAATTGTGCTGAGGACGTGTACTCCTATTCCCTAGGCGTAGTCCCGAAATCATGGAAGACGGCTTTTGTCCACCCGATCTCTAAAAAAAGCGACCGATTAGACCCGTCCAACTACAGGCTTATCGCCATCCCCTCCTTGTTCTCCAAAATAATGAGGTACCTTGAGGATCACCAGGATCAGCGACCACCAATACGGTTTCCATCGTGGGCGATCAGCTGGTGATCTTTTGGTCTACCTTACTCATAGATGGGCGGAGGCAGTAGAGTCCAAGGGGGAAGCATTGGCCGTTAGGTTGGACATTGCGAAGGCCTTCCATCAGGTTTGGCACAAAGCGCTTCTTTCGAAGTTCTTTTATGGGCTTACCGAGAAATTGTACATTTGGATCACCAGCTTACTTGCAGATAAGAGCATCAAGGTTGTTGCAGACGGCGCATGCTCCGATTACAAAATACTGGCGTTGCACAAGGCTGTGTGCTATCACCAACGCTGTTTTTTCTGCATATCAATGATATGTTGCAAACCCGTAACATTCATTGCTATGCGGATGACAGCGATAGTGATGCTCTGTACACAAGCCGTGTTAATATTTCACGGGAAAACGTCTCCGAGTACCGGCACAAACTTGTGTCTGAAGTCGAGTCTTTGCTGAACAAAGTCTTGGATGGGGGGCGACTAAACCTAGTCCAGTTTAACCCTCAGAAGACATAAGTTTGCGCGTTAACTGCTAAAAAGAACTCCTTTGTAGTATCTCCTCAGTTTCAAGGTACTTTCTTTATTGCCACTGCCGGTATCAGAACCCTCGCCGTTGAAATATCGAGTGACGTGTAATTTCGTGGTCACTTGGAATAGAAGGCGAAATTAGCCTCTAAAAAGCTTGGCGTGCTCAACAGAGCAGGACAGTATTTCATGCCGGCACATCGCCTGCAACTTTACAAGGCGCAGGTTTTGCCTCACATGGCAATACTGTTTCCATCACAATACTGTTTCCATCTCTGGGCTGGGGCTCTCCAGTAGCGGCCTCTTAAACTTGACCGCATCCAGCTTAAAGCGGCTCGAATCGTCGATGACCTAGTGCTTTCCGATGCCAAATTCGATGAACGCTCTACATGGCAAACCTTCCGATACCGTCCACAATCTCTGGATGCTTGGCGGTCTACCACTGTACGTTTCACTAGGAGTTTTCTTCCGCGTACGACCTCTCTGTGGACTAGTTTACCACCGGCGATTTTTGCGGACCGATACGACCTAGGGACCTTCAAGAAAAGAGCTTACTCCTTTCTAAAAGGCCGGCAACGCACTTGCAATTCCCTTGGTGTTGCAGTTGTTCATGGGCGACGTTAGTCACTTATCATCAGGTGAACCGTATGCTCGTTTACCCCATCTCCTATAAAAAAGAGGTAACAGAAGAAACAGACTGATCCCACGTACGCAACCTATGCGATGCAATGCTGGTACGTTGTTGTACACACTTGGCCTACGTATGCAACGTTACCTTTGGCTTCAGAAACTCTTGTCACTTTTTAGCGGAACCACAAGTACAAATTTGCAACATGTTTTTTGTTTCTCTGAGTGAGTTTGAGAATAATTTACTTAGTCTGATATTCATAAACTAATATATCCTCCCCACAAACAAAATTAAACAAAAACACATACTAATGTAGAATACGATGTGTTATTTTCGTAATATTTATAAAATCATGTTTCTTATCTTAATATAACTAGAATATAAATACTAAAAACTAATTTTATAAATTTCACGCCCCCTTACACACTCACACTCACTAGGTATAAAATTCATCTTTTCTCATACTGAATACCGTAATGTGGCATTGCGATTTTATACACATTTAATATTATAAATTCATTCGTAAACGCTTTACTAAGTCGATGAGCTGTTCATCTTAAATTTCGACAACAAAATGCGGGCACGGTACAAATGTCTATTTGTTTATGACGTGCTTCGCACGCGTAATTTCTAGCAAAGCACCAGTGTGTTCCTAGAATTTACGTGATACTACGCGTGGGTATGGGATTGCGTACGAATATCCCCTCCACCTTTCCACGCTTATCTAGACATCGCAGATTGACATTGCATGGGACGCGTTGCGTACGAGTATATAGTACCTATAGTTTTTCATACAAAATCAAGAATCCAAATGTCATAACGCGTCGCATACGTTGCGAACGTGGGATTAGTCTGTCTCTATCTTAATCCAACAATTAACCCCTTTAACAAACTTTGACATGTAACATCTAAAGGTAAGGTCTACGCTAGAGGAGCCGAGCACGAGCAGAGCACGAGCCGAGCACAAATTTGTGTAGTGTGAACCTCGACCTACAATCCTCGAACGAGCGCGCTTAGAGCGTTTGGCTCGTGCTCTACTGTGCTCCACCTGTTGTCAGTTTTTTGACGAACACAAAGGGAGCACGATGCAAGCGCTCGCATTGCGCTCGTGGACGTGTTGAATGACAGACGTTGCTAGAGGAGCCGAGCACGAGCAGAGCACGAGCCGAGCACAAATTTGTGTAGTGTGGACCGACTTTTTGGTGGTACTACAATGATTATGAATTTCTAATTATACATTCCGTTGGCAAACTTGATAAATTTTCTTCTTTTTAAACCAAGCATTTTGTAAAATTTTATCTTTTGCTGCTGCTATCTTACTTAAATTTAGTTCATTGCTTAATTTGAATTATAAATGCCTTATAAAGTTATAAATATTAAAAGTAAAATATCTTGGTCGAATAGTCCTTTGGCAATACATGTTCAACGTAGCAAGGCTGATATTGAGCGGATAATGATTTCTTAATTTTTCAGCCTCTGTTTTCTGTGATGTTAGTGGTGTTAGCCAGTTTAGCACTTTTACAGCTCCATTGGTTTTCAATGTAATAATAATGCCTCTGACTTTGGACAGGAAAGTGTCACTTAATTCTAAAGCCTAGGTCACGAATACTCATGTTATATGGACTTCGCTTGCGTAGCCAGTAAGTCAGCCAGTTCAGTCGGCCCATAGATTATAGTAATACAATGACATAAATAAGCTATATTAGGCGTTTTTGTTTTGTTTTGTCTTGTGTTTTTATTGTGTTAGAGTAACAAAGATATTTTATATTTCAATTAAAAGTCGGTGTCAATATTTAGCACCGAAAAGAACTGGTAATATATCTAGCAAATAATAATCTTTTGCCATAAAATAAAGAGCGACCGTGTCGACCAGCACTTTTTGACACGTTTCGTTACGACAGAACATCGTGTGACGCAACTAAGATATTTTGTGGCCATGTATATTCGTAGTAACCGTAGGCAAGTTTTCTCGAAGCAATTTCTACATGATGTGTAAGACCCAAGCACTGATTAAAACTCAAAAGCATATGTTAGCCTAGTTCAGAAATGAAAAGGGTGACGTACTGGCGGTGTGTATATTTACACGAACCATTTGCATTCACTTTCAAACCCTCCATAACTCATACACTATTAGACCTACACTTAATATTTTGTATATATAATAGGAATATTTTAATGAATAAACCTGTTGTAGTTCCTGAGTGATTAAGATCTGATAAGTGTCATTTTTATCACTCTTAGACTCACTCATCAAATACTAAACCACTTCCAGATTGTTCAGAAACTTTAAGTTATGCTTCAAGTTAGATCCCCAGTCGCTTAACCTTCGTCTGGTGACGTGCATATGAGTCACAGTATTGTAGAGGTGACGTCAATATGACTTATCAATATAAAGCCATAAATAATGTATATTATGGATAGTGGTAATAAAATAGGTCATGTTTTATAAAATTAGGTTTGTTTGGTTTCAACATAAAATACCTTTTTGATAAATTAAATGAAAAATTAACTTTAATCATACACATAGACTTGTAATGAAATTTTGGTCTGTGTTTTGTAGTCATGAGATCAATAATCATGAAATTAAAAAAAAACTCAAAAGAAAAACATAAATCAACATTTTTCTCTAATTAAGAGTTCAGTAATTATTTAAAAAATATATTTTAGTTTATAGGTTCCATATAAAAAATTTAAATTATGCCTGGTACAATTGACACAAATTTTCTCAAGACAATCTAGGCATGCTGGGTTTCTGCACTTCTTCCAAAGGTATGACGTGCCTTTTTTTCTTTGCTGATCATATTGTACATGTCCCAAGCTTTTCCAGCTTTGCAGATGTAGAAGGTTCAGGTTTTGCATCTTCTATCTTCAAGATTCGCTTGATAGCGCGTATGTCTATTCAAAGTTTTTTGATTGTTACACCGGTGCAACATATAGGGCTTGCAAATTTGGTCCGTTACTGTACACAAAAATGTGTATCTCTCAACATTTTTAGCATTTTGAGGGTATGGGCACTTTTGCAATACGAATATCGAATGAATATCGATTTTATTACATAAATATCAATCAAACGGTAAAAAAGAACAAGTGGCCATCGCTTCATTCTTCGAATACAAGAATAATTAATACACATTTTACCAGACCATTAACACCATTTTTCGTGTTATTATATAAAAAAATATTATTTCTGGTTTTTCACTTTCTTGATCAATACACTTGTCTTGGTGCATGGACGATACAAGAACAACTGCTCTGTTACGTTTGCTTCATAAGAAACCATAGTTATTTCCTTTGTAAAACACTCTATTATTTCTCTCTTTTATTCTTGTTCATAGTGCCCACACAAGTAAGACCATTTTCCTACAAAAGCTTCATTGCTTCGATTGATATAAATCAATTGTCTCCCGTTACATTTTGGTTGGAATTTTGTATAGGTGTCTTCAGCCGTAAAATGCTCTGTATAGTTTTAGAGTACTCCTTTTATTCATGCCTCAATCCCTGTCCATCCGAATCTTTTACACAGTATATACAAGCACAGTAGAGGTAATTAGTAAACGCGTCAGTCGTGCACATGAGCTTCACACTATATTTGCCCGGTTTCTTCGGCATATACATGAGGAATTTGCAACGACAACTGCATGCTGCCAAGCATTTTGTCAATACACCTGTTAGAACCAGGAGTATAGAATTTTTGGCAGTTCGAGATGAAAATAATATACAACTCGGACGGATATATGAATAGCCGAATCATTTTTCTTTTTTTCTTTTCCGGTATTGTGATCATCGAAACGTAACTATGCAAGTATCTAAAGAAAATGTTTTTGCGAAAAAAATATGTCAAAATATTTTCCTTTCTTTTGAATCTGTGGCAAACAAAGACGCAGTATCTTATTTATTGCTTTTGAAAATAGCAGTAAAAGCAGGCATCCTATTAGTGCTCGTAATTCAATAACAGCGATGTCTTTCAATTCGCGCCGATCTTCTTTCTTGTATTTATGCCTCATATCTTGTAATTTGCTATTATTGTGTTGAACAACTATCTGTAAAATATCTTCAAAAAGCAAAATATTCCAGAAGTCTTCTTTTTCAGTGCAATGATGCGTAATATTTGACTCTTGAACTGTAATAATATTATGGCTTGGAGCTGTAACACTGCTTCTGTGAGGATCTTTCTGTGAGGAACACTAAAGGTGATGTCGAAATGAGGTCGAGTAGCCTCTATAACCTAAACTGTGCGTGGCGACGCAGCTACTAGGTGGCGCGGTCGCGGGGGTTACGCCATTTCTAAGAAATACAATGTAGTAGAGAAACTTTCTTCCCCATCGGTTGTCGATTCTTCGATCTATAAATGACAATGGATTTTTAATGTTTATATTATAATATTAACTAATCAAAAGTAAATTAAGACGCAAGGCGGACGATTCATCGCTTTGGTATTGACCGATAAAGAAACGGTCTAAGAATTATTTCGCTAGGGAAAAAATTATTTCACACTGTCTACTAACGTAATGAAGTAATAATGCCTTTTTTGGTTTATATCGACACATTCATATGTGATAGCGATATTGCGAGTTCCCAATATTGCTATCGCGTATGATATTGCAGTTCTCAACATTTTTGCAACATACATCGTAGACACTTCTTATGTATTGTCATTTATTTTACAGATTTGTCATATTGTTGCGCACCATAGTTAATGCCTGGTATATGGCGGGTGATTATTAGCGCCATCTAGTATCAAGTAGCAGAAATAGGAGCGTCAAGATCTTTCTTGAAAATTTACTAGCGTCATCTAGTATGGAGTAGAAGAACAGAACTAGAAGAGCTATCTAGAAAATTTCTTGCTAGAACTTTCGACATTCTACTCGAACATTCTAGATATTTCAGTAGAAAAGGCCTATATAAAGGCGTTAAGGACCGCGACCGAGTCAGTATTGAATTGGCAATACAAGCGAAGACTTAGGAGCGAAATAAAGTGAACTAAAGTGTTAAGTGTGATTAATTATTAGTGTGTTTTAAGTTTTAATTGGTGTTTGATAGTTAAAGTGTCAATTTTGGTAATTCAATCGGCAGTTTTTATTGTCACGAACCCTAAGCTCGTAACAATACTATGTAATTAAACTTGCCGATAACGATTTCCTTTTCGTATAAATGCCACGGAACCTTCTTTTCAAGAAATACATATCTAAATATCTAGCGGGTATTGACATAACATGACATCGCGTTAGTACTAATAAATTAGGAAAGGGAAAATATTTGTTTATGTTATACTCCCTTGATAAAAATCTCAAAGTATGATATTTTAAGATGTTAATTTTTTATATCTAAATGTTGCACAGGCTAAAGCGGCTTTGATGTACGATGCTGCACAAGTTCTTGTCGATGCAATTCTGCGTTTAGTGCGTAAGAAACCAGACATATTACGGGGCCTTACACGACGCAATGCTAACCTTAATTCTAACAATACTTTGGATTGCAATCCCCAAGAAAAATATTCAGCTTATGAGATTGGCGACAGGATTTTCAGGATGACAAAAAAGGTAAGGGAAACATACTAGTAGGTGAGAATTGGGGCTTCTGCGTCACATGCACTCGCTTCGCTCGAGCTACATGCCGCTAAAGGCCCCAATTCTCTCCATTAGAGGTCTAAATTTTTAAATCTTATACTCGAACCGTTTTTTTTTATGTTTGCTCCATTTCTAATGCCGTTTCATTCGGAATCTCAAATACAAATGTTTCAATAATATAACAACAAAATATGAAGGCTAATCTATTTCATCGTTAAAAATGCAAGGTAGTACAAAAAAAACAGTTACTTTAATAATAAGTACTAATCGTAAGCGGTCTGAAACTATACTTTTTTTCTTCTTCTCGAACACAAAGGTAGTTTAAATTAAAAGTTGAAGTGTTTATTTACATATATTTTATTGGAAATCAAACAATCATTTTGTTTTCAAAACACCATTTCTCAATACATAAAACATTTTTTAACGCACATATTTTCTTATGAGTAAAACAATTATACAGCAAAGTATCTTTACAATAAAGTTCACAAAGAGTATTTAAATTGGGAGCTCCTAAGCAACTTATATCTACGATAGTATTATTTTCATCACAAATATCTTGCATCCATTTAATTTTTTCACATCCTTGTAAAAAATCTTTTTATCTTTAAATATGTCTTTATAATTCTGTGAAACTCTCTATAATCAACAACGCCCTCCGCCATCGATACCCTCTGTGCTTTTCAATCCAGCCAATTTGTTTTTTCTCTTCAAGAGATAGTGAAGTGAATGGGTAAGGAGGTTTAATTAAGAATATATTGGTGTACTCTAAGGTGGCTACAGCAAACTCCTTTACTATAAATTCATTTTTGCTATTTTTGAAGCCTTGAAGATCGATGAATATTGTATTGCTATTCATAATATTTTCTTAACGATATTACTCAGTGGTTTGCATTCGAATATACAGTCGTTTAATATCAATCAATAAGCGGTTGTCTGATCCGATATTTCTTGGTCTGTTTCGATTTCAACTCTCACATCGATCGAACCTTTTAAAGTTTCGTGTTGTCTTGAACAATCAATAATAAATAATGGAGCCACGTCTCTGAACTTTAACAGTGGTAGAGCCACGCGGCAGCTTTACTTTTGCACGTATGGGCCTGCTCAAACCGGGGTGGTACCACGACCTCACTGACTACCGGCGTGAAGTGGAAGCTCTGCTTCCGCGTTTCGTCTGATGAGTGCAGGTGGCTGGAGGCCCAAATCTCCCCCCCCCCATCAACATGGTAGCGGAATTAAATGATGATAGACTACCCCAGGAGGGTACCAGCACCCCTGGAGAATCCCTCGCTAAGCATCCACGACCATGTTTCTCCACTTCTGAGCGTGGGTGCTCAGGCTGCCCCACGTGTTCTGGAGGGGATGGCAAAATTCCGCTCAAGACTACAACTGCTCGGGGCAAATGGAGCAACAAGACCAAGCCGACCCCTGCCACGCTGTCCGTGAATTTCTGCAATATCAGGGGACTTCACTCTAACCTAAACGCCGCGCCGTCCAATATCATCTCGAGACGGCGAAGCTGGCTCTGCTCTTTCTGTCCGAGACGCAGGTGTCCTCTTATGTCTGCTTATGTCTCGTCTTAAGAGAGATCTCTTACCCGGGGTACAAACTGAAACACTCCTCTGTGCCTCGGGCTGGAGTTTGCGTTTACGTCAGAGAGGAAATCTGTTCTCGACGCCTCGGCAGACTTGAAGGTTCGGACCTGTCCATCCTTTGCCTACGCGTAGACAGCGACGACCATCCGCGCGTCTACGGGTGCCTCTATAGGTCCCATAGCGGTAATGCCGAAACAGACCGACTATTCGACCACGTTCAAATGGCTACAGATTCGTTGCTACAGCAAATCCCCTCCGCAGAGATCGTGATCCTCGGCGACTTTAACGCCCAACACGCCGAATGACTTGGTTCACGTTTAACCGATCATGCGGGGAGATCTGTTCATGATTTTGCCTTGGCATATGGTCTGACACAACTGGTTACTTCGCCTACGCGGATTCCAGATGTGGAGGATCATGCACCTTCCCTGTCGGATCTTCTGCTGACCTCTCACCCAAACGGATATCAGATTTCCGTTAACGCTCCTTTAGGCTCCTCGGACCATTGTCTTGTACGGAGTGTGGTGCCACGCTGAAATCGCAGTTGCATTCTGCAGGCTGCCGCCGTGTTTGGCACTATAGGTCAGCCAATTGGGATGGGATGCGGTCTTTCTTTGCATCCTACCCTTGGGGGTTTGCTTCTCGCCGGACGATCCCAACGTTGTTGCGGATTCTGTCGCTGATGTGGTACTTCAGGATATGGAACTTTTTATTCCTTTCTCTGTGGTTCATGTGGTTCATTTCGACTCGCTTCCGAATAATTCAACTCGTTTCTTGGACTTAGGAACTGTTTTTTTAGTCCTTAATATATTAGTTGGTTTCTTAAACGCTTTCTTCTTTTGCTAAGTCGACTGTACTTCAGTGTCTGACTCGAAGGAGTTGGAATACCTAAAAACGTAATACAAATAAATCACTATACAGGAACACTCATATGAAAACTTATAAATCGAAACATAATATAATTTTACTCTAACATAATATATGGTCGATGTATTTATTAAATTTAGATAAATTATAAATATATCTTCGTTCAAAATTAATGCTTTATGAAGAATAAAACAAACAATTTTCAAATCTTAAACTGAATTTTATACTATTCGTAATATCTCTAGATAGAATATAGTCTGGAATAACACACAGGCGTTTGTTGTAAAAGCGTATATATTGCCTACCTATAAATTAGTTACTAATTCTATAAATGATCTTATAATCTAAAATAAAAATATTATGTTTGTTCCTAGTGTTTAAAATGAACATAATATTTTTTCTTATGAAAGCTATTTATGTTTTATGTATATTACATTTTCATAAATTAATATATATATATATATATATATATATATATATATATATATAATATTTTTTATACGCGGTAGAGCAATGCTGCAGTTATATTAGTAGTATAGTTGTAGCACAAATGGGTTGGCTCGACCGGGGAAGGACCACGCTCTCATAGAATACCAGTGTGAAATAGTAGCTTAATGCTGTTGTGTTTCGTATGGTGAGTGTAGAGAACCGGAGAACCTTTTTACTGGAAACGAGGCATTTCATCTTAGTCCTCACAGGTGACAAAGCATCTGCATTTTGATTTGTAATCGAGAATAGATGTAAATGTCTGTGAGGCCACAGCAACCACTAACCATCAGGTGGGCTGTGTGCTCGTTTGTCACCCCATCCTGTAAATTATGCTATGAAAGTAACTACATGATTATCTTATTAAATAATAACATAAACATAAAAGCCTGTATGTTAGATGTTTTTTTATGTTTGTTTGTTACTCAATCATAATAGAATGCCTGAACCGTTAACGCTCACTAGTTACATATAGAAAAAAAAGAAGAAAAAAAGGCCTCCAACAGTATATACAAATGTTTTCATGTATTCATGCACCCTAATTTTTATACTGGATGGGAATCGAACCACAGCCATCTGGTTTTCTAGCTTACTCGTAGTACAAACCGCTAGATCATTTGCGATCACGACCATTGGTTAAATAAATTGATTTATAGAAACTTGGAAGCATGTAGGTACTAATTTGGTTAGACTAAAAATTTGGAACCTATATTTGAGAGAATTATGTTCTTCAGTGGGTGCGTAGCGCGAAGCAAGAGTGAATGAATGCTTTTGAATTAAAGCTGATGGTTAAGTTAATCTTCAGCATCTTTTTCAAGTTTTCACGATTGAAATAACGTTAGTTCATTAAAACCTATCAGCCAATACGGACAAATTAACAAACCTGTTATGAAATTTCTCAAACAAAAAGAATCACTTAAATTAGAATGTATCTGTCCTGTACCAAAAATGAGGTTAAACGTCATGGGAGCTTATTGCCAAATACGATACGTAGTATTGTATGCGGTCCATCGAATTGTGGAAAAACTAACTTAGTTATCAGCTTATTGTTACATCAGAATGGGCCACGTTTCCGCAACCTTTATGTATATTCAAAGTCTTTATATCAACCTAAATACTTATTTTTAGAAAAAGTACTGCAGGATGTGGAAGGTACATCTTATTACAAGTATAACCATAATAGTGAAATTTTGAGACCACACGAAGCTTCGCCTAACTCAATTATAATATTTGACGATGTAGCTTGTGAAAATTACAACAACATACGCGATTATATCGCCATGGGTCAACATAAGAACATTGACTGTTTTTATATTAATCAAACGTATACAAAGATACCTAAGCAACTAGTAAGAGATAACGCTAACCTGATAATATTGTTTAAACAAGATGATATAAATCTAAGACACTTTTATGGCGAAACATGTAGGATCTGACATGACATGGTCTCGGTTCCGGGAATTGTGTTCAACTGTGTGGAGTAAACCTTTCAATTATGTTGTTATAAATAAAGACTGTGAACGAAATAAAGGCTGTTACAGAATGATGTTTGATAAATTCATACTAGTAGACTAAACGTTTAAATAGCTGCTATGTCACAAAAAAATCAGTTTCTGTTGAGTGGTCAAACAGAGTGCAATTCCTTTACAATTGAACGAGACCTTAATAAACAAATTATAAAATCTGCTGCAGCTGTAAAAAGGAAGGTAGAAATGATTAAAGATGCAAAAAATACAAACAATCTGGTTTTGGAAACAATATTGAAACCTATCGTTGATCCGCTTAATATCCTTACCAGAAAAACTGAAGAAAAGCAGCATTTAAATGAAGGTACAGACCAAGCTCATCTTATTAAACAACCTAAGTACAGCGCAAGTGAATCATCGATTTCTTCAAGTGATGTGTTTGAAGATCCTGTTAATGATGAAAAAAACTCGGATGTTTATACAACATCCAACAAAACCCTCACTCACTCGCTTCCTGCGGATGATAAACACGAATAAAATTTCGTTTAGATCTCATCAATCAACACCAAGTATTGCAAATTTTCAAGATTCATTATCATGGTCTATGTCATCTGAATGACTAAAAGATGTACCTTATGGTGTCAGAAATGTACATGGGAAACTAATGCTCGGCACATTTCGTGTCTATGATGATGATCACATCTTAAAAATTGGAAATCATAGTTTGAAAAAAACTCCAGGCTTAAAAGAGTTATTGTTTAAAAAGCTACCAAATTTAGGTATTGTAGCAGAGGAAGACTTACAAAATTATAAATTGTTACTTTTGGATACTAATGCACACAAACGTAGTTATAATCCATCCAAACCGATTACCAGTAACAAAGGATTTAAATATATGCAAGTGATCAAACCATTGTTTAAGCACTCGAGAAATCATAAAATTAGTGTAGAAAGTCTTCCAAAGGGAGAAGGAATTGATATTTTAAAAGAAGTTAAAAAAGATACTCATTTAGTTTACTGGGACGATCCAAACGAGTTAGTGGAACGATTAAAATTACTACTTGGATTATGGGCAGCTGGTAACACAGGGGTTTACAATGAAATTTATGCAATAATCGAAGAATTGCATGAAACTGGCATCATAAAAGACATTAAATATATAAAGCTGCCTACAGGAGGATTACGCAGTACCATTTCATTACAGAAGCCGATAAGACGGCTATGAATATAGATAAATTTGGTCATCATGTTCATAAGCGTTTACGACTATCTCAATGCTCTGATATTCTCAGTGACGCTTTAGTAAGAACAGACGCAGGTGATTTTGATTTGAAATCAACAAGATCAAAAGGACTGCAAACTCCTGAAAAAGAAGATGAGGCTGTGAATAAAGAATATGTGGATAAATGTATTCAAGAACATAAAAATGAAATGAAAACAATTCACAATAATGTCAAAAAGTACCTTAGCAGTTCAGAAAAAATGACTACTAGCAATTTGAGGACATTGTATTACACTAAAAAGGAAATCGACCTCATGATTGCAACAAAACCTACCCAAAATGAGTAAACAAGATATAGTCAATAAGCTCCATAAAGCAACAAGAAGAAATTTTTCTCGTCAACATACGATTATTAAAGGAATAGATGATTTATGGGAAGCTGACTTGATTGATATTCAAAAATATTCAACGTTTAATACAGGATATAAATATGTTCTAGTAGTAATCGATGCTCTATCAACATACGTATGGGTTAGACCATTGAAATCGAAACATAAAAATTGTTTCAATAATGCGATGCAAAGTTTATTATCTGAATCAAGACGAAAACCTAAAAATTTACAAACGAATCTTTGTAATGAGTTTTATTATGATCCTTTTAAGAATTTAATGAAAAATTATAATATAAATCATTATTCCACGTAGTCCGTTAAAAAAGCCTCCATTGTATAACGAGTAATAAGGACTTTTAAAAAATTGTCTTTACAATATATTCAGTCTATGCGGACAATATCAATGATTCAAAAATAATTTAGATTTTGTTGTAAAGCGGTATAATAATACTTTATTTCGCATTACAAAATTCAAGCCTATCTACGTTAATGATTCAAATGCGATTTTGGTTATGTCAAACATCAAGAAGTCTCAAAAACCTAAGATACGTCAAAGATCAACGTTTCACGTTGGCGATTACGTTCGTATAAGCAAATACAAAGGAGATTTTTATAAAGGTTATACCCCTAATTGGTCTACAGAAATATTTCGTATCGTTAAAGTCAACCAAACCAATCCTCAAACCTATCAAATAGAAGACAAACACAATCAAAACATTCTAGGCTGTTTTTACGATTACGAACTACAAAAAACTAACTTTCCAGACCTTTATCTTATTGAAAAAGTCATTAAAAGAAAAGGAAATAAGCTTTTAGTAAAATGGTTACGTTAGGGTGATGACGAAAACAGTTGATTGGATAAAAGTGAATTAGTGGTGTAGGTATATAAATAACGTATTATTACTCATTTCATACTTATCTATGAAGGAAGGCAGTGGTATAATTAATAAAGTAGTAGACAATTTACGTGGTAAGGGAAACAGGCAGGAGATGGGCAGCAGCGTCTTCCTGATAACAGCAACTGTACGACAAAAAAAACTGCGGTTGCCAATCCGCTCGCCAAGCGTGGCAACTATGGCAATATACCCCCCATGAACAATTACACAAATAGACGGCCCCCAGTTCCCGGCAGCCCCACTATTCCTGGCTACGGTGGCGATCATGGTAACGGCGGGGCAGGGGGTGCTAAGAATCTCCGGTGGAGGTTCGGTTGCCACCTACGACGACTCGACATGGCAACATTTAACGCACGCACCCTGAGGACTGACGCGATGATCCTGGAGCTGGAAGAAGAGATAGACAAGTTGCGCCGGAATATTATAGGATTATCCGAGGTCCGAAGAGAGGGGGAGGACACGGTGATTCTCGAATCCGGCAACTTGTTCTATAACCGGGAGGGCGACCATCTGTCCCAAGGAGGTGTCGGATTTATCGTCCACAAGTCTCTCGTCAACAACGTTGTAAAGATTGGGAGTGTGTCGATGATGGTCGCGTACCTGATACTCAGAATCACCAAACGGTATTCGCTGAAGGTCATACAGGTTTACGCACCAACCTCGGCACATCCCGATGAGGAGGTGGAGGAAATGTATGAGGATATTTCCAAAGCTATGCATTCCTCCAAAACCCACTACACGGTGTTGATGGGAGACTTCAACGCAAAACTAGGCACAAGAGAAAGCGATGAGCTGAAGGTAGGGAAATTTGGAGTAGGGCAACGGAACCGAAGGGGCCAGCAGCTGGCCGACTTTATGGAGAAAGAGAGACTCTTTATGATGAACTTTTTCTTCCAGAAGCAGCCCCACAGCAGCAGTGGACGATATGAATGACAACAAATGAAGATCGACCGACGGTCATTGTCGCTGTCCGTTAGTGTCGCAAAAACTCGAAAATGGGTAGACCGAATTAGATGAATTTTTGTGAGCATTTAAGTAGGTCCCTGGACGGTTTAAACACTCGATTGCACCCGGTAGGTGGTACTGTTACCGAGATCCAGAAATCACCCGTGCGAAGCCGGGGCGGATCGCTAGTCTGTTACAAAGTTTGAGAAAGAAAAATACAGATTCTAAAACTAATATCTCGGCGCACTGTTGAAATAAGTTTGCGGATTTAAATTAAGCGGAATTGCAGAGGAACACAGGTGTTGAATATGGGACCAACCTTTATATTGAGTGCGCTCGGTGAGCGAGCCTCAGGCGATTAATGAGGTTTGGCTACCTGACGCCTTATTAGAACCAGGCATATACCTCCAAACTCCCAGTTTCGCGGAAAATCGAAACCATATTTTATAATATAACTACTGAATTTGTTAAAAGTTGATTTCAATAAACGTCTACTCACTTACATTACTTAATTACATACTAATATGCACAGTAAAAATCATGCCTCATAATATACATATTATTTCTTATTTATTTCATATTACGTAACATATTTTACAATCTTTTCGAATAGAACATGTTTTATACAATAATAGTGCTAAAAATCCGTAATATTTATAAAGATAAAGGCGCTGCGCGATTGAGAAACAAATTTAATTGAAATAGAAAGAGTCGATATTATTTTCTTTGCTTCAGACGGAGTTAGAGGGATTGACTGGTTTTCCCAAGTTTGAAGCTGGCCATCGTCGCAATTTTACGCTTCAACTAATGGAAATGACCATTAGTGGTGATATGGTTAAGGTATGAAATATTGATTTTACCAAAACACAAACACCCATATACCTACATAAATTATTAAAAGCGACAGTAGCCTAATTGCAGGGCGCGGACCGCGAACTCAAAAAGTCGTGGGTTCGAATCCGCCATTTGACTACTGACGCGAACCACTCGTAACACAAGCAATTTAAGCTTACCAAGAGTGGTTAAGGGGAATATTAGTAATGTTTATAGCATTGTTAATATTTATTTAGAGAAAAAAAAATTAAATTTTACAATCGTTTGAATAAAAATAAGATGGCATAATTTTCAATGTTTGATCTTAAATATTCCCGAAAATAGAAAACTTTGTCTTTGTCTATGTAATGTAATCAGTTACACACTCGTTTTAGTAAATAATTTTTAAAACTGTTTAACTTTTTCCGTACCCGATCCATTAGAGCATATAAAAGTCCACTGCTGAACATAAGCCTGCCTCATGGGGGATTTTGCCATAAGTGCCACTTTTGGCGAGGGGGTTGGTAACCGCATTTTTAATTATTTTGACTTGTTATCAGGCAGATGCTGCTGCCCATCTATTGTTTCATTTTTCTATTATTCTTTATCATACTTACATAATATGTATTACTTTGCTTTAGGTTGGTTTTTCTGACAAGCTACTATATTGTCTGCTCATGCATAATTCAAAAGAAAGGTGATTTAATAATGCCTTTAATATCGTCTTGTCACTTTTCTTGCAGAACGTTCCTATAAGGCTTCCGTCTTATGCCTTTGTAGTTCCCCTATAGTATATACAAGTACAGTAGTACCTAATAAACAAGTAACGTTAAAATTTATTATATCTAAAATAGCATAGAGTTTTAAAAGCTCCGTCGTAATTTTAATTTTACATACATCTTTTCCATTTTGAGGATGACCGATGGCTGCTTTTGATTCTAAAGACAGTTGTCCTCCAGCACGTTAGAGTTGCATGTTGGATTAATTTATGGCCTTTACAAGACGTATATAACACTGAATAGCCTTACGACAATTAACAAACTTTTAATGATACTTTAATTTACTTTTAATTTCAAATATAAGATTATTCGCGTGTGTAACTTGTAATAACTATGGCAGTTTACTTAAATTACGTATGTCAAGTTGTAATATTTACTCTATTTTGTAATCAAACTTTACTTAAATGTGAAATTTAAGATAAAGTTTAGTAAACAACTTAGTAATTAACAATGATTGTTAACGAGTACAGAGCCCAGAGTTGTTTGTTTACTTTTCTCATAGTATTGTTTACATTGTTCTAATTTATAAGGTCCTCCACCCCAATGAAATAGAGAGTTCAGTAAGTCAGTTCAACACGACAGTTACTCCAGTATGACAGTCCGTTATGATAGTCTATTAAGTCAGTCGGTCACATCAAGTCTGAGTAGTCGTATAGTCTGCTGTAATAAATAAAAATACTTCGATATATATCGTCACGCTGCTAGTTGTCATTTAAAAACCCCTTCCGACCACCCGAACATTACATTTTTGGTGTCAGAAGTGGGATTTACGTAAAAGGGCTATTGAAATATCATAGTCCGATACACGTAAAAGGCTATTGAAATATTATAGTCCTTTAGTCCTGGCGAGTATTTGGACGGGCGAGTCTCCAGTTATCAACGTCACTACACGTATTGGAGAACTCTCTGGAAGAAGGTTGAAAACAACACGCGTCGAAGTATCCAGTAGGCAGTCCTCGACAGCGGCAAAGTCAAAGGAAGACACACGAAGCAGTCACGAGCACATCGATTCATTGGGCCAACGTGGTTCTCCACTGGAACAGACCAGTACCACAGCGACAGGCCAGTTGATCTTCGGCGGCGTGTATAGCGACATATAACTACGTCATCCAAGTGACTCGTATAATTGTTGATATATTTTGTATTTTTTGTATTTTTTGTATTTCATTAGGAATAATAGGCTTCTATCGAGAGTAATATAGAATTTATAGGGAATGAATAGTGAAATTTAAAGGTTTATGCGAATCCATATAATTAAATCGAATTATTTCTTTGCTTTTATAATTCAAGTAAATAAAAATTTATAATGTACACCTCAGAGGATAAAGTTTCTGTTGGGTTTATAGATATCAGTCTTGCAGAAAGGATGATTAATTAATACGATGGCAATAAGGCAAATTTACATGTGTTCATCGATAAGATTTATTGATACGCGTATTTCGTCATATATAAAATTAAATTCCTCAAATATATTAGGAAGTAAAAATAAGTTCCTTATTGATACAGGGGCAGAAGTTACGTTGATAAAAATAACATCGTTAGAAAGACAAACATTGTTAATGAAGATAAGAAAATTAAATTAAAGGGAATAGACAAAGACGCTAGTCCGACCAATACAATCGGATATGTCCAGTTGACATTTGATATAGGAGACAAAAGAGTTTATCACTTCACGTGGTACCAGATAACTTTCCTATTCAATGCGATGGAGTCATAGGTAGCGATTCCTTGTCAAAAACAGACTCTATAATTAGTTATAAAGAGAATAAATTCAGAATTTGTGGTATAGACTTGGATATTGAGCACGAGGAAATAAATTTTGTAAGTGAAGATTCGAATTAATATGTGAATGAAAAATACATACAAGATAAAATGTGCGATGTAAAAAATAAAAGAGATATGTGTTATGAAGATTTAGGAAGTAATATATTTGAAAGTGATTGTGAAGTATATCCACAAGTATTAGAAAATGAAAAGAGTTATGAAAATAATACGTTTGAAAGAGTTCGTGAGGTTCATCTACAAAACTTAGGAAAGAAAGAAACAAATTATGAAAGTGATTTCTTGGTCATAAAACCAAGATGTGAAAAAGTAGTTTCTATTTATGTAGAGAACCTTAATTTGAAGGAAGGGATAATATGGGAACCAATTAAGATATTAGACGGTGTTTATTTATGTCCGAGTATAGTAAAAGTCCACGAAAACAAAGCGTTAACAGTGTGTTTGAATACGACAGATAAGGTAGTGAAAATAAATAAGTTGTTTATGTATTTAAGTTAGAGTAGTTAGTTTAAACACTCTAATCCCTACTAGAGTATTTAAGTTAGAACCGTTAGCTAACGATCACCAATAAATGAATGAGTTAATTACAGTAAACAAAGTTAATGAGAGACAAGGGATGAATGAGATAATTAACGTCAATAACATTAATAATGAAGAAGCGTACAAAGAAAATCGTTTAGATAAGCTAAAACAAACCTCAAATGGTGATGTTAAGAAAATAAATAGTATAACTAGAAATGGGGAAAGTTATTCTTCATTTTTGAAAGAAATGGAAAGAAAACCGATTTTATTTAATAAGCTCGATTAACATAACGATAAGCTCCCAAATAATGTAAACATAGTAGTTTTTACATCGGTCGATTTAGATGTCGAGAATGATAAGACGCTTTTAAAATATGAATCTTATCTCAAAGAATTAAGGTCCAAGAAACCAACTCAATATGATGTCTTGAGTATATCAGAGAGTGGTAAGAAAATTTATTTTTCTTTTGCTAAAATTAACTATTGGGATAGTGTAACGTACGAAAACATATATGAGTGCTTTAAGCATTTAAAAAATGTATTACTACAAGAAAATATTAAGGCAATTAATTTCACAAGTTTTTGTAACCTTCGTCTTAAATGGTATAAATTAAGAACAATAGTTAGATATATATTTAAAGATACAGATATCACGGGAAGGTTCAAACGCAAAAGAGGGAGGATATACAATCTATTTTAGAAGAAAATTATTCAAATATAATTTCAGGTCCCATAGGGTTTCATAAAACTTATAAAAAAATTAAAGCAAATTATAAATGGGACAGTATGAAAAGAGATATAAAAGAATTTATTAAAAAATGCGAATAATGCCAAAAAAATAAAATCGATAGAAAGAAAAATAAGAAACCAATGGTAATCACTTCAACGTCTACAGAAGCATTTCAAAAGGTTGCTCTCGATATTGTAGGTTCACTACCTTTGTCAGAAAATGGAAATAAGTACATTTTAACTTTACAAGATGATTTGACAAAATATTCTCAAGCTTTTCCTTTGCCTAAACACGACACCGAAACAATTGCAGATTATTTTGTACGTAATTTTAGTTGCGAATTTGGAATTCCTGAAATTCTCTTAACAGACCAAGGGGCTGATTTTACCTCAAATTTAATAAAAGATATTTCGAAATTATTTGAAATTAAAAAGATAAATACTAGTGCTTACCATCCACAGTCTAATGGAGCATTAGAAAGAAGTCATTCAACATTAGCAGATTATCTTAAACATTACGTAAATGAAGATCAAACTAATTGGGATAAATAGATCGATTTTGCTATGTTTTCTTATAACACAAGTGTTCATACGTCAACTCAATTTACACCATTCGAATTAATTTTTGGCTTTAAAGCATGTTTACCTAGTTCTATAACTAAAGAACCTGAATTTAAATATTTTTATGACAATTATTTAGACGACCTTACCTTAAAATTATGTAAGTCACGAGATATTGCAAGGAACAAACTTATTGATTCGAAAGAGTACAATAAACAAATTTACGATAAAAAGTGTAAAGATATAGAATTCAAGATAGGAGATTCGGTATATTTAAGTAACGAGGCAATAAAACCGGGAAAATCACGTAAACTATCACCTTATTGGCTAGGACCTTACAAAATTATTGAAGTCAATTCTTCAACTAACGTAACAGTTAAGATAAAAAATAAAAAGTTAAAAGTACATACAAATAGACTGAAACGTGCATTTGTTTCAGAATGAACCTGGTTCGTATTCTGATATTCCTGACATGGATACCGTATGTAATAAGTAGTGATAAGTTATATACTATAAGAGTAATAGATAAAGGAGGTGTTTACTTCGAAAGCGTAGGAAAAGTTAATCATTTTGATAGTGAATGGAATTTGATTACATATTTAGATATAGCAGATATCCATAGAAAAATAAGTTTAATTCATGATACGTATATTAGAACCAAAGATCTTTGTGATCACGCAACTTTTACTAAATTTTCCTTGTGTCAGACATCACTTGTAATCTTAGAACAAATAACTCCTCAATTAACAGTTCAAGAGAATATTCTTAAAGAATTAACGGGTTTTCACAACTATAGAACTAAACGATCATATTTAGATGGTGTGGCAACATTTTCAAAATAATTTTTGGAACTTTAGATGCCGAAGATGCGAAACGATACAATGAAGCAATTGAAATTTTTAATAAAAATGAACACGAAGTTTTGAACTTATTAAAAACTCAATCTAATATAGTTAAATCAACAATTTCTAATTTCAATAGTACAATTACTGATTTAAATATTAACGAGAAGATATTTAATAAAATTTAAATTTATTATCAAATTATACCAAAGAAATAGGCGATAAAATATTTAGTATTAAAATTAAACAAGATATTGTCGAACACATGTCATTATTGACCTTGATAACTACCGAAGTTAATAATGAAATTTCAACAATTATTAATGCAATATTATTCGCGAAGAATAATCCCATACATCCAGTAATCATAACCCCAGAACAATATAGAATAGAATTAAGAAAAAGTTTATCATATTTACCTCCACAAACGAAATATCCTCTAGAGCTAGTTGAAAAAGATATTCCAGAATTACTATCGTTAGCAAGTATTGTATCATATGTAACAAACGAAAAACTTGTTTTCGTAATTAAAACTCCTTTTATCACTCAAGTTAGTTACGATTTATATCATGTTTTGCCAGTTCCAATTAAAAGTAGTGATAATACATTTATATTCGTTTTACCTAATTTCAAATACTTTTTAATTTCGAGTAATAAAATTCATTATACTAGTTTAGAAAATTTGAATCTTTGTAAAATTCTACAAAATAATGGGAGATACATATGTAAATTAGAAACTGCCTTATATTCTGTACATAAAAGTAAAACGTGTGAAACCGAATTGATGTACGGTAGCACAAAATTACCTAGTGAATGTGATACTAGAGTGGGCTATATACAAAGAGAACAATGGTTTAAGCTACATCAGAAAAATCATTGGTTATTTGTAACACCTGAAAAAGTAATAGGCACATTAAATTGAAAAAAATAAAGAACCTATTGATATAGAATTAATAAATAGTGGAATCATAAAAATTTCAGACAATTGTAAATTATTTACAAGCAATATAATGCTACAAACTCAAACATTAGGTTTAGAAAGTAATTATAATTCGATTTTACCACAGATAGATATTATATCAGATGATTGTTGTAAAAAGTTGAAAAATAGAAATATAACTAAAATAAATTTTATACCATTGAAAATTCACGAGAAATTAGATTTAGAAAGTCTGAATTTGACAAGTCACAGAATAGATAAAATTAATGATGTTATTGATCGAATGGAAAATGAAACGATTTTTGATAAAGTTATTAACAATTTTTATTTCGCTTACATATTTTGCTCTATTTTAAACGCGGTTTTGATTTATATAATATATCGTTTAGCGAAATATTTATGGAGAAGACATTTCTTTTGTAATAGAAATAGAAGATTATTAGCATTAGAAGATACTAGGTCTTGTTGCGCAAGAATTACGAATTCTACAACTTTAAAAGTAAATAATGATAATAAAGATATTGAATTAGAAGAAGTGCCTTCTACATCAAGCGCTTAAGACATACTTTTAAGACGTAGTGCAAGAATTTCACAATTAAAAGTAAATTAATTTTGTATATGCATAAGTAATTTAAGATTTTTATACTTTGACATTTTGATTATATTATTCTTTTGATTTTTGATAAAAGTCTTGATTTTATTGTTAAAAAAATGTATAAGTTAGATAATTTGATTTTATTATTGTAACTGTATTTAGTATATTATGTTACGTGTTAACATTGAAGTGTTATAACTATGTTATTTGTTCGATTTTAATTTTAAAATAAACTGTGTTTATTTTTCTTAAAAGGGGAGGATTGTAATATTTACTCTATTTTGTAATCAAACTATACTTAAATGTGAAATTTAAGATAAAGTTTAGTAAACAACCTAGTAATTAACAAAGATTGTTAACGAGTACAGAGTCCAGAGTGGTTTGTTTATTTTTCTCATAGTATTGTTTACATTGTTATAATTTATAAGGTCCTCCACCCCAATGAAATAGAGAGTTCAGTAAGTCAGTTCAACACGACAGTTACTTCAGTACGACAGTCCGTTATGATAGTCTATTAAGTCAGTCGGTCACATCAAGTCTGGTAGTCGTATAGTCTGCTGTAATAAATAAAAATACTTCGATATATATCGTCACGCTGCTAGTTGTCATTTAAAAACCCCTTCCGACCACCCGAACATTACAAAGTTTCAACTTTAAATATTAGTAACTTTCTTAATATTACATTTAACGATAATGTAATTTAATAACAGATTGGAACTTGGTACGATTACAAAATGTTAGTTCCTATCGTCGCAAAGCCAGCAATCAAAATTCCCGGGCACTACGATCGAAACAAGACATACATTGTGTTGACCGTTGAAGAAGCGCATTATATTATGCGATTCGACCCAGAGCTTATGGCCAATTACCCCTACCTTGCTTTTGCGTCGATCTCGCCGAATTGCTGCTGGAAAAGATGAAAATGAAACGTAAGTCATTAAAGTATATAGTATTACTAAAACAAATGCAACTACCGATTATGAGGTCCTGGGTTCGAATCCTGGGTCGGGCGAAAACATTATTTATTGAGTTTTTCCGTCAAAAAATTCTCAATAGCTGCCCTGAGTCAGGAAGTTGGCGGTATATCACCCCCGTGCTTCGAAAGGCACGTAAAGCCGTTGGTCCTGCGCCTGATCTCTCTCCGGTCGTGTGTCGTTTTACCATCCTATCGGAATATGAGAGTGATGGAATAGAGAGTGCACCTGTGCTTGCACATACACATGGGCACTATAATCCTGTCCTGCGCCAATGGCTAGTCTCCGTTGAGGTTGACCGCCGTGCTCGAAATTCGGTCTGGAGCACATTATTATTATTACTAAAATAAAAAATAAACAACTACAATTATTAAAGAAACCTACTCCCAAGTAACGGCGCTAAGAATGGCTCCTGACCGGCCATACTTAGCCTTTTGCGAAAAAAGGAACACTCCTCTTGTCTTCAGCAGTAACGACCAGTCGCGTATACACGGCTTTGTCTCTCTCACTAATATCAGTTAGACACCGTTCTAATTATTCGTATTAACCCACGTAATTATAATTATAAAATTGTCTGTCAGGTAAAAATTACAATCATTCATACGTCAGCTATTTACTCGTAGGCTGCGAATTTTCTTTTGTTTTAATTTAATATTTATATGAATAAAGTTAACTTTTGAAATGGTTTACAGATGAATTGGTTAGAGATGGTAAATAGTGCAACGAAAATCATAAAGTTATTTGCGGCTGGAACGGCACGATCGGAGAACTTAGGAAGGTACGTGCCCGCTCGTATTTATCTTATTTCGTTGAGTGTTTTCAATGGAGCACAAAACGCTCTATGTACACATCTTAACCTTTTTTTTTAAGTAGAGTTACCGAGGACAAAATAGACCTTTGGGGGGATTTGAAGAATATAATTTACTTCATTTATTATCTATAATTATTTAAACCAACTCTGGGATTTAGAATTCAATTGATATAAATGTACGTACATATAACGTCAATGTTCATATTAAGACATATGTATGTTCGTATTTGACGTCGAAATGACAAAAGCCCTATTCCAACTCTCGACCAAAGTAAGCGTCTGATGATAGTTTACGAGGTTGATACTAGGGTTGACTGGTAGGGAATGCTATAAGGTGAAAGGTGTTTGAATATTAGTCCACAACCTCCCACTGCAACATTCAACAAGACATATTACGTTTATAAAATAGAAATAAAATAACTTTTTTCTTTTTATTTGTTTATAGTATAAGGATGATGAATGAGTACACAGTCCATCAGGTAATAAGTGTATGCTGTGGCCTATAGACATCTACATCTATCAAAATGCAGATGCGTTATCACCCGTGAGAATTAAGATGGAATGCCTCGTTTTCAGTAAAAGTCTCCGGTAGTAGTAGTGTTTAAGCTCTAATACTACAATGGTATTTTGTAAGAGCGTGGTCTCCTGACCCGGTCGAGCCGACCCAATCGTGCTACAACTATACTACTAATGTAGCTGTAGCATGGCTTTACTACGTATAAATTATTTCTATTAATTTATTAGTTATAATTATTTATATATATTTTATTATTTTACTTATAAATATTTATTATACAATGATATAATATATTTTTCGTACAGAAACTGAAACAATCACTTTTGTATTCAATGTAGATTATAAATATTGCTTATTCAAAGTCACTTGTTTAATTTACCACTGATTCGGAAAAAACCTCTGGCATGGGAAAAACCAGCAGGAAACCAAGCGAGAGCTTTCAAAAACAGGTTATAGTCATGTATGTTACAATTAACAACACAAACCAAATTAGAAATAGCTTGGTAGCGATCACTTTTCCCAGGGATTGTTATCATCCATAAATTCCTTAAAATTTTAATAATCCATTTTATACAAACTTTGTTTAACTTTGTGCGTCTCAAATTTTGTATATTTTCTGGGATTTTGTTGCTAACGAGTATACATCACCTCAAGAATGAATTACTGACTCCGAGAAGTTGGGTAACTGGTACTATTAGCTTTTGTCTGTTCCTAGTATTTACAGAACGAATATCACTTATTTTTGTGAAACTACTTTTATTTTTGTGTACCTAAATTATATTTTCATAAATTTATGGAGAGGCCAAAGTTAATAGATTTTAAGTTTTAAATCATAGATTGCTCTTATGGCCCTCTTCTGTAAAACAAATATAATTTCAGGATAAGTCGCGATTTTCATAGCAAAATAGCGAACGACATTATACTATATTTCAGAGATAAGTTTGCTTGCTAGTTTTGATATATTGGGGGGCCTTATTGAAGCTTTACATCTAGTATGATCCCAAGAAAAATGATGGTATCGACAAGACACAGCTTCTCCCCATTTAAAATTGCATTAGTATTAAGATGTTTGACTTTCGGATTTATGAATTTCATACATTTAGCTTTAGTGTCATTTAAATGCTAATTTGTAACATTACACCAATCGACTAATTTAGATATCGCATTATGTACTACGTCATAATTTAGTAACTGTCAAATTTATTTGAAAATAAATAATGTAGAAGAAGATAAAAAATCAAGGAAGTATCATCAGCGAACAATAGCATATCATGGTTATCCCCTACTATATAAGTTAAGTCATTAATATATACAAGAAACGGGAAGCGACCGAGAATTGAGTCCTGAGGCACGCCCATTTGTACTATCGACCCGCAAGAACTCATACTATTAATGACAACTTTTCGTATTCTGTTACTTAAATATGAAATAATTAATTTAAAAGCATCACTTCTTACACCCTAGTGTTAAAGTTGCCTGATTAATGTTTAATGGTGAACGCAATCGAAAGCATGGGATAGGTTACAAAATATATCCAAAGCATCCTGTGAATTCTCCCATCTATCCCTATTCTTGACTTAGCAATACTTAAGTATTCGTTAGTTACATTAACTTCTAAACCTTGCTACGTCATTGGCTCTACCACGTCATTTATTTTTATTTTTTGCTGTTGCTCAAAGCAGACCTGTTGATTGCTCCGCTGACTGTCACTTTAGAACGGGACGCTATCATTGACTTCAGAAAGCCATTTTTGTCATTTGATCTTAAACCTGAAAAAAAGGAATCTCCAGCTGTGATAACTATTTTTAGTTTTCTTCATCAATTATCTAAGGAGATATGGGTAAGAATTTTTTTACCAATCTATTATATATTTTTTTTTTGTAGAAGTAAGCTAGTTATTGTTCTAGTGTATATTTATTTTCTCTGCTGTTAAAAAGAAAATAAGTTCTAGCATTTACTTTGTCCTTTATAAATTTTCACTTGAACGTATAATGTTAATTGTTATGGTCACAAATGATAATAAAAGTTTAAAATTGTAGTATATAGACCAACACCTAGGCCATTAGTAGTTATATAAAATAATATTACATCAATTTGTAGTCAATGCCGCCGCTTCAAATTATGCAATAACCATTTTGCACATGGTATTTTTTAAATCGCGGTGATTTCCCTGAAAATCTGAATAAAAGCTTTTTGTTAAAGTTCACAATTTTAAAGTGGTTGCGGTTTCATAAGTCTAATAGTGAAAACATTCTTTTAGTGAGATATAGATATATCAAGGACCATTTAGGTCACTGGCCTATTGATGTCTTGATTACACTACACTTCAATTTTAAACGGGTTTCAACGCGTAACATTACATAAAAAACCAGCATATTTATTAAAAAATTATATAAAGTCTCAGACATATCTTGAATATTTTATTTCCAGTTTTTTTTTATTATTCATTATTTTCGCTGTTAGCATAGCTATTCTTAGTATCGAGGTTCTCACCTCAAGAATGGTGCGTGCTCTCTTTTATTGATACTCAAACATCCGAACACAACGAAGTAGCAACAACCAAGGTATATTTTTTGTAATTATAAGCAACATTCAATCAGCTCACATTTTTAGTCGAATATTTTTTCTTATAATCTGTTATTACGTTAAATTTTGTCCCCTAAACGATGAATAAAATTATAGAATATTATGAAATCTACATTGTATACGAGTATTATACCGTTTTTACAATAAAACATGTTTTCATTAAAAAAAAGTCAAATCTCATCTAAAAAAGTTAATTTTTATCATCGTCATCATCATCCTTACATAAATAAATCCACTGGTGAACATAAGTAGGCCACGCCAAAGATAATAGCCTAATAGATAGGATACTTTCCAAAGTTGCCACGTTTGGCAGACGGGTGGGCAATCGCACCTTTTATTTTATTTTATAGTCTTTATTAGAAAGATGGTGATGCCTATCATCCCATGTTTTTTTTTTCTCTGTTGCCTCTTACGACACTCACTGGACGATATGTTGAGTGGATATTCTTACAAGATAAATTTCATATTTAGGCGTTTGCTTTTCTGATGTTTTTACATAGTACTGTTAAGTAGTCATTTATAAATAAAAGGAAATGAAATTAAACGTATTAATAAGTATAATCATTCGTTTCTTGCAGACCACAAACGTGAATGAATTTAGCTTTTGGAATTCGGTATGGTTTTCAATCGATTCTTTTATGCAACAAGGCAGTGACATTAATTTAAGTTAAGTGAATATTTTATACTAATTATACACAATATTAAAAAAACTATAATATAGAAAAACTAACACAAAAAATTTAAATAGTCAAAAAGTCCTGCTCCCCGTGGTATAGTGCCAAGAACGCTGGCTGCGTTTCCTCGCTGAATGGCTGTCTATACTTAGCCTTTGAGCAAGGAAAGAACCAGCCGACCAGCCTTGGATACAGTTCCTTTAGGAACTTCACTGCACGTGGACCCCACGGACCGATAGTCTCTACAGTAAATGGCACAAATATCGCTCATATTTGCGCCATTTACTAAATTCGGCTGCCTCTGATGCCGCCCCGGCTCTAAAAGAGATACCCTTGAGATGAGAGGCCGCCAAAGTGT